ATTAATCTGTTTGGTTGGCTGTAAGAACAGATGTCTTGATTACATTTTACTAAATGTCTTTTAGATGATTACGAGATATAAATAATTAAGAGCTTGTTTGTTTTATTATTTCAAACCCTATTCCATATCCTATTCCCAAAATACTTGTTTGTTTAATTATTTGGGAAACACTATTTATTTTTTTAATTACGTTTACACCCCTTAAGTTTATTAACTTAATTAAACACCCCTAGAAAAAAAAAGTTTAAAAATTAACAAAAACAACCCCACTCACCCATAGTTGCCAGATTTGGCCTTTTTGGCTAGATCCATGGTGGATCTGGCCGGAAAAGGCCAGATCTGGGCGTCAGCGATGGCCAAAGAAATGGCCGTCGTTGACGGTCAATGATGACCAACTCTGACGGCCAGATCTAGCCTTTTGCGGCCTCCGACGACTAGATCTGGCCTTTACCGGCCAGATCCACCAACACACCACCGGCTAGATTCGACTAGCTTGAGTCGTAACGGCAGATTCCGGTGGTGGTGGTCGGAATTTGGCACTTTGGTGGGTGGGGGTGTTTTGGTCACAATATGTAAATATGTAAGGATAATATGGGCACAACAATAGTTCGCGGCATTTATGAAAATATTGATAATAAGTATGCCAATTTTGTTTGAAAAATTAAAAAACTGAGGACAAATCCATCTTCTTGTGTAAATTGGGGGTTTTGTAATTATTAACAAAGCCAAGGATATTTTTGTCCACATTGTCCACTGTTTTGGGGCAAAATTGGACAAAAATTTGGATTACCGAAGTAATATTTTAATACCACCCTCCCCCCAGGTAATATTATTCTCAGTGATTTACCCCCAATTTGGCACTGTTTGACATTTTTTTTCTGGAAATGTTTTTTTTACAAAACAACCAAACATGGTTATCTACCCAAATTAAAATATATTACCCCCGTTATATAATATCAAACCGATCCAAACGACCCCTAAGTAGTATGCAATATAAGTGTGTAGATATATTGCTAAACCCGGGAGTTAAGTATCACTCTTAAAGGGATTAGAAGATGCTTGAATTGATGTGATTAGATGGATCTAGGGCATTTCGAGTTTGAGACACTATATTTTTTTCCATAAGGATTGATGTCTCTGTGTTGTCTCTATTTTGAGGTTCTAGTATAAAGCTGCCACATGCAAGTGTTCTTGGCGGTCGCACAACCCATTGGCTTGTATGAATGGTCTCATTTACATGAACAGATACGAGGAAAAAGTTTTGATAGTATTGACATTATGTGAGAGTGAGAGATGTTGGACTTTGGGTGGGCCCAAAAGGCTTGCACCCATGAGTGCACAACCCAATTGGCCCATTAAAGGAAGTTATATCAAATAACTTTATGGAGGCGTTTTGTTAGAGGTTATGTGAGATTATTAGGGTTAAGTCATCTTATATTACTTGATTATCATGTTTGGTTTGTCAAGTAATATAAGATTCTGGTAATCTTCAAATACCAATAGTGGTTACTGTTGATAATATTGGAGGTAATCTGATTACTTTCATTTTTTTAGGTATTGTAAGATTACTTAGGTTTCTTTTATTTTTTTTTTATTTTTTTATTTTTTTTTACAATTCTATCCCTTATTAATAAAATTTTAGGATAATAATGCCCTTATTTTTAAATTTATTTACATGAATCTTGCTTTTACCATTTCACCCCATTTAATTAATTTTTTTGGACAAAATTACCCTTGAAATGAAAACAAATTTCAGCTTACCCAAGCCACCACCCCCACCCACCTACTGCCAGCCAAACCACCGTCGACCATCGCAGGAAGTCACCGGAAGTCATCTGGAGTCACCGTGAGTAGTCCACAGTGACCGGGAGGCTTTGATATGGCCGTTTCTAGCCATATTGATGGCCGAAAAGGCCATATCAGGAGTAGATCTGGCCAGAAATGGCCAGATCTATTCTAGCCATTTTCAGCTAGATCGATGGGTCTAGTTGTTAACGGCCAGATCTATTTCAGCCGGAATAGATCTAGCCGATAATGGCCAAGGATCTAATCTGATATGACTGTTTTCGGCCATCAATATGGCTGGAAACGACCATATCGGAGCCTCGTGGTCACAGTGAGTTACTCACGACGACTTTCAGAGACTTCTTGCAGTGGTTTGCGGTGGCGGCAGGGGGTGGGGGTGATTTTGTCGTAAATTAAAGTTTTATATAAGCAGGGGTGTTTTAGCTAAATCTGAAATATTGGGGGTTAAAAAAATTATTCAAAAATTAATAATAAAAATAATATTATATTAATATTTAAAAAGAGGGCAATTTAGTAATTTAAATAACATACCCACCAATTTATTCCCCCTAACCAAACATATTCATATAACATATCCACCAACTAACCAAATTTATTTTTTTAAAAATTTCCAATAATCTTGAAGGTAATATAAGATTCCAGTAATCCAACATTCACTGAACCAAATGCCCCCTATGGATTTTAGTAACTATTCAGCGGTTAATACACAAATATTATTCTCTGTTCTGTTAATTGAGAGAAGTCTTTGTGTCGTGATTAGCGTAAAATCTAGTCAATCTTGTTCTAGATTTTTACCGTGAGATTATCAGAGATTCAGAAGGACATTGTAAAGCACTCCATTGATTCTATACAACGCTAGATGTGAAATTATATGGATTTTTACTACAATTCCTATTTTTCGCTGTATCAATTTTTATTAGGTGGTTGATGATTGATGATGTGCTTTGTGTGTGAAGGAATGATTTCATATATGTGGGTGTTGAACATGTGTTTTGTGATGGAGTTTTGGATAGTTATTGATGGATTTTGTGGTGTGAGAGAAAGAGGGGAAGAAGAAAGAAGGTCGGGGAGAAAGGTTAAACTTAAAAACAAGATGAGGGAGGAAAGGAAAATTATTAGTCTTTTACTTCATTTTAAGGCAAATTATTAGTGACAACTGACAAATAGGGCCACGTTTACATTTTGGGATGCGTTTAATTAGTTTCTAGAACAATGGGGGTAACTTGTTTAAAAATTCCACAGTTATCTGATAACTTGCACCTTCGGAAATTCTTAAGAGGTGAAATTTTTTTTCTTATTTATCATTAGTAGTTTAGAACTATTTTTTGTGAATGAATTTTTTTTTCGTTTCTACCACTTTCGGCCTAGGTATTTGATACTCGGGCCGAGACACGTCGGACTTGGGCTGTCACCCGAACTTTAGGCACCACTTTTTATTTAAATTAATTAATGTTTTCTTTTACAAAATGCAGTGTTTAGTTATTTAAATTAATCTTTTTATTAACAATGTTGAATGCTCTCAGCTCTCTTGCCGAAAATCATGGAATCATATATAGGTTTTCCACACTATAATAGAAAAAAATATATTAAATAATACAAGTAATATTAAAAATCATAGTTCGAATACAAGTAAAATATATTAACTCGTAAACTTCATAAAACCATTTCTATTTCGTGTAGGGCGTTTTGCAAACAAACGAGAAGTCGAACACGAGTATCACCAGTTGAAACACAATTCCTTCTTAAATTATAAACACAGTGAATGCACATTTGAATAAAGATCTAAACCTACGTTGAAAAACTTATGCAAATCATTCCAGCATAACCAGTACTTGCAAAACTTGTATCGGTCGGCTTAATTACAGAAAACAAACACCCTAAAATATTACAAAAATAAACTAAGAATTCAAGTCAATATTTATTTCTCAGTAAGAAACATAAACCCAGCATGACTCCATCCAACTCAAATTGTACAGAACAGGCCAACTTCTATTAACATGGCCAAAGCAGATTTCTCATGGTAACACAAGAGGCGTCAAAAGAAAAGAAAAAAAAAAAAATTATAGGACACAAAATTTGGATTATAGAAAACTATTATTGTATAAACATTTCATGATGGACTGATGATACATCTGATGTGGACTAACCTCCCTCTACGTGATAAACAGCTGAAAGATTGCACAGGTAGTTGATGAATCACACTCTTCTTCAATGGATTTATCTAGCATCCTCAATTTATATCAGCCTAAAATTCAGTATCAAAGCACGCTACCATAACCTTGGAAACCATGGTCCTTGCAAATGGGATGTAGCTCAAGCTATACCTATAAATTATGACGAAAAGAGGGAAGAAACACGTGTAGTGAGACAATGAAGACAATGAGGGAGAAAGAGATATAAAGTACACCAATCATTAGGAACAAATGCAACAGACAAGTGAATTTAAACAGATGTAAANATAGGGCCACGTTTACATTTTGGGATGCGTTTAATTAGTTTCTAGAACAATGGGGGTAACTTGTTTAAAAATTCCACAGTTATCTGATAACTTGCACCTTCGGAAATTCTTAAGAGGTGAAATTTTTTTTCTTATTTATCATTAGTAGTTTAGAACTATTTTTTGTGAATGAATTTTTTTTTCGTTTCTACCACTTTCGGCCTAGGTATTTGATACTCGGGCCGAGACACGTCGGACTTGGGCTGTCACCCGAACTTTAGGCACCACTTTTTATTTAAATTAATTAATGTTTTCTTTTACAAAATGCAGTGTTTAGTTATTTAAATTAATCTTTTTATTAACAATGTTGAATGCTCTCAGCTCTCTTGCCGAAAATCATGGAATCATATATAGGTTTTCCACACTATAATAGAAAAAAATATATTAAATAATACAAGTAATATTAAAAATCATAGTTCGAATACAAGTAAAATATATTAACTCGTAAACTTCATAAAACCATTTCTATTTCGTGTAGGGCGTTTTGCAAACAAACGAGAAGTCGAACACGAGTATCACCAGTTGAAACACAATTCCTTCTTAAATTATAAACACAGTGAATGCACATTTGAATAAAGATCTAAACCTACGTTGAAAAACTTATGCAAATCATTCCAGCATAACCAGTACTTGCAAAACTTGTATCGGTCGGCTTAATTACAGAAAACAAACACCCTAAAATATTACAAAAATAAACTAAGAATTCAAGTCAATATTTATTTCTCAGTAAGAAACATAAACCCAGCATGACTCCATCCAACTCAAATTGTACAGAACAGGCCAACTTCTATTAACATGGCCAAAGCAGATTTCTCATGGTAACACAAGAGGCGTCAAAAGAAAAGAAAAAAAAAAAAATTATAGGACACAAAATTTGGATTATAGAAAACTATTATTGTATAAACATTTCATGATAGACTGATGATACATCTGATGTGGACTAACCTCCCTCTACGTGATAAACAGCTGAAAGATTGCACAGGTAGTTGATGAATCACACTCTTCTTCAATGGATTTATCTAGCATCCTCAATTTATATCAGCCTAAAATTCAGTATCAAAGCACGCTACCATCACCTTGGAGACCATAGTCCTTGCAAATGGGATGTAGCTCAAGCTATACCTATAAATTATGACAAAAAGAGGGAAGAAACACGTGTAGTGAGACAATGAAGACAATAAGGGAGAAAGAGATATAATGTACACCAATCATTAGGAACAAATGCAACAGACAAGTGAATTTAAACAGATGTAAATATGTAATCTCTTTTTTTTTTTTGGCAGATGTTTTGGTGCAGCTGACAAGAAAGTAATTTACTTTTTGTTTTACGTAATTATAGTTTCAGTGATTAATGATTTACTTGTTTGAAGTCCATTTGCAATGTCAAATGAGGACAATGCCAAAGTTAGCTGAGGTCTCTTAGAGCCCTCAACACATGGAAAGGTGCAAAAATACAGTATAGACCAAACAAATGGAAATCATAAAATTGTGTGGCAAAAAGTTGAACTTCCCATTCAGAAGCAACAAAATCAACTATAACATGAAACATCAGGCATTAATTTGCAGACCAAAAGGTTAATGGATTTCAGAAAAAAAAAAACAAAAAAAGGAAAAATGAAATTCCCAAAGAAGCTGTATATACAGTTCTGAATGGATTCGTGGATAGGTTATCCTAAAATCAGACCTACTTGTAAATTGTTTTGCACTTGGACTCATGGACTGATCAATAAGCAAACTTGCATGTCCAAATACCCAAACAAATGAAACATAATCATTTTAATCCTTGAAGGTTCAAATTCCAATGTGGTGTGATCGAGATAAAATAGAAGATATATTCATAATGGAAGAGTATGTAAGTGATTCAACATACCAAATTAGTGCACCAAACTCTAAAATGATTGCTATAAGTGTCAATAGCTTGTTATGAACCTGCTCAATAAAATCAAAGAAAGATCACATTAAATGCATAACCTAAGGTTATTGCTTCTAAAGAAAATTGCATATATTAAAATTTAAGTAAAAGAGATGGGAAGGAAAAACACAACAGGATGACTTACATAGAGAGCACAAAATAAAGCAATAATTATACTTGCAAGATATAAGGCTGTAGCATATATACGAACAGGATCAAGCATCATTGTCACCTGCCTTTTTGGGCCGATTAGGAATGCTGTGCTGCCATGCAAAAAACATCAACTTAGAATCTGAAATAACCAGGAGAGAACCAATCATAATATGTATAAGAATAAAATACTAGGAAAAGCTGACATAGATTTTCTGTTAGAAAAAGAGAGAGAGAGAGAGAGCAAGATCAAGAAAAGAAAAAATCCATTAAAAGAAGTGGTCATGAGCAATGAGATAAAGAATCAATAACAGAAGACTAAATTTATAGGAAAAAAAGGAAAACGCTCCCTTTACTCTTAACCCACATAGCTTCCTCAAAGATATTAAGATGCAACTTTTAAAGTTATAAGCCCCTTTTTATGTTTCCACTTCAAGGTTAGATATTAAAGAATTGGAATCTGATACCAGACCAATAACACTTTACTAAGGCCTGTTCATATGATAGATAGCCCTTTCAAATAGATAATAGACTGAAAACTATAAAAGGCAATACAGTTATTGAAATTTGATTTTAGCTACAAACTACCACATGTTTTTTAATCAACCCAAGCCGCAATAAGGCAGCAGCAATATGATGCTCAGTTCCAACATTCACAAAGGAGATCATGGAGAAATTTAAACTGCAATGATGGAGAAATCAAGAGATCTTTCTGTTTCCCTTTTTCCTTCTTCTAATTATAAATATTTTGAAAACACTAGTGGAGATGGTTAGATTATATCTCAACCAAATAATATCACTAGATCCTTGCATCCCTACCTCCAAAACCCCAGGCTTAGAAAAAAAAAAAGAAAAAAACCCACTAGAGTACAGTGGGAATTGGCCACTCCATTCAATGACAAAATCGAAAGATTTTGAACAGCCATCTACATTTTAAACTATGAAAAAAATATAAAAATCTCACCCACTTCTGTATATACTCTACTCCTAATCACCATACATTCACACTTTCACGCCTACACATACAAGACTTCAACATTCAGTTCGTTAAACTACCATGGAGAATATAAGCTAAAAATCCAAAAAACAACAACACTTCTGAACTATATTTCTAAACATTAAATAAATTACCACACCAACACATATAAATAAAATAAAATAAAATACAAACCTCCCAAGTGAAAGCAAATTCCCAAATGTGAATGTGATCCCGAACTTGATTGGATTAAAGAAAACAAGCATTGACTGTGACATGAAGAAACATAACAGTAAAAAAGACTAATAACATTAAAAGCCAATAAAAAAAAAAAATAAATAAATAAAAAAATTGTGATAATTTAAACATAGTACTGACCAGTAGCGTACAAAATAAACCTGCTGACAAGCATATGGCAAAACCATACAACCTCTGTTTAATGAGAGAGAAATTGGTTAAAAACCACTAACATGTAAAAATTTCTGATCTTAATACGTATAACAAAAAGTTAAGCATAGCAATTTTTCTCTTGAACTCGTTATTTAAAACTAAATCATAGCATTAAACTCAACTAATAAAATCCCATGTAAAAATTGTAAAATTAATCTCAGCAATCAAATAGTTGTACTTCAAAAATACTAGATTTCGAAATAAATTTAACCATTAAGCATCAAAATTGAGTACCCATTTGGAAATAATAAAATTACAGGTTAATTGTGACTGAAAGAAGGTGATAAAAGATTAGATTAAGGACCTGTTTGGTGGACAAAGTGCATTGGCGATTGAAGTCGTCCATAAAAGCGAAAGAGCTGTTATTTTCACCAGTTGCAGCTGCTTCTGATTCTTCGTCTTCAACATCCATTCCCACTAGCATTTTCACTTTCTCAAACGCATGGTTCATCTTCTCCATTTTTTGTTTTTTTTTTTGTCTTCGTTTATTCACTGGATCTGAAACTATTATTGTTGTTTGTTGTTATTTAAAGAGGAACAATTTTTGCTTCGAATTTAAGAAAAAAACACAAATTGATAGCAACGAAGTAGCTGTAATTAGGAAGCTGAAGAATGTTGAACATTGACGATCTATGAATACTTTGGGGCCAATTTTAAACAGAGCATGGACTTACTTCATATAGAGCCAGCCCAGACTGTCTTTGAGTTTCAGGTAGACATGTAAAGCGGGCCGAGCTACCACGACAAGACACGAGCCCAGCTTAAAATCGTACAATCCGTTCAGGACACGGCACAAATACTGTAGCATAATTTTGTTTAATGATTATAATAGATTTTGTTATAATCTTAGTAATATAAGTGTAATAAATTAAGGAAGACAAAATGCTAAGAAAGTAAAGTTGAAAGGGATCAGTAAAACTTCTACTCTTTTCATTTCATTATAATCGTAAAATCAAGGGGAGGGGGGCTTTTTATAGCCAACGCCCCTTCCTCCATTCACTACCTCAAAGTTAAGGTAGTGGATGGCTAATTACAAGACTCCCCCTTGGATATCTATCGCTTACAGATAATTATATTTAACTTTACTGAAGAAAAACCCAATGGAAAAAAAAAAAAAAAAACTTAAAGTAAAGAAATATAACTCTACTGTAACGTGAAATTGGATGTGCTTCATACTGCCTCATTAAAAACCTTGTTAGGAAAACCCAATTAGACAAAACCTGATCAAGGAAAAAAGAGTACAGTGCACATATGTTCAGTATAATAAAATTTTCTAAAAAACTCCCCTAATCGGTTCTCCTCTTGATCAATGCTTCCCCTCATAATGGTAGAATTAATTTAGTCACTTATTGAGCCACCGTATACCGATGTTATACACTAACTTTTCAAATGTTGATGTCTGTAAGGCCTTAGTGAATAAATCTGCAAGATTATCACTGGAGCGTATTTGTTTGACATCAATCTCACGATTTTACTGGAGTTCGTGAGTGTAAAAGAACTTCGGTGAAATATGCTTGGTTTTGTCTCCTTTGATATATCCTCCCTTAACTTGAGCAATACATATTGCATTGTCTTCATTAATAATTGTCGGAGCATTTAAGGTACATGACAATTTGCATATATTTTCAATATGATGGATGACAAATCTTAATCATACACATTCTCGGATGGCTTCATGAAGTGCAAGAATCTCAGAGTGGTTGGAGGAAGTAGCAACCAATGTCTGTTTTCTAAAGCACCATGATATTGCAGTACCGTTATGAGTGAAAACATATCCCATCTGCAAGCGAGCTTTGTGAGGATCAAAAAGGTACCCAGCATCTGTATAGCCAACTAATTTAGAATCATTAACAGATTTCCTTGGATAAAATAATCCCAAGTCTTTTGTTCCATTAAGGTAATGAAAGACATGTTTGATCCCATATCAATGTCGGCGAGTTGGTGTAGAGCTAAATCTTGCCAACAGATTCACTGCAAATGCTATGTTTGGTCTCGTACATCGTGTCAAATATAATAATGCACCTATTGCATTTAGATATGGTACTTCAGGACCAAGGATCTTTTCGTCGTCTTCTTTAGGACGAAACAGATCCTTTTTAGGATCAAGAGACTGAACTACCATTGGAGTACTCAAGGGGTGAGATTTATCCATATAAAATCGTTAAGGATCCTTTTAGTATAATTTGATTGATGGAGTTAAACTCCATTTGAACAATGCTCTATTTGCAAGCCAAGACCATACTTTGTTTTCTCCAGATCCTTCATTTCAAATTCTCTTTTTAAGTACTTGGCAGTTTTTGTGAGCTCTTCAAGAGTCCCTATTAAGTTCATGTCATCGACATATACTACCACAATTGCAAATCTTGATTTTGACCTTTTTATAAAGACACACGGGCATACAGGATCGTTGATGTATCTTTCCTTAATCAGATATTGATTGAGACGATTATACCACATTCTTCTTGATTGTTTCAACCCACATAACGATCTTTGCAATTTTATTGAATACATGTTCCCTTTATTTGCTTCGAGGACATGGCTAGCACGAGATCATGGAATGTAGATCCAATTCAAGTTCCCATTGGTCCAGTTAAAAGAGCACGTGCCAAGAAATTCCAAAATGCATTAAGTGGGCTGATTAAAGGGATTTGGGCTCAAGCAAGCATGTGAAGGCCCATTGATGGTGATGAATGAAATCTCCACCTTTAACAAGCGTGATTCAAATCCGAGAAAGTCAATAGGCAAATTGGGATCTGATTTAGGGCTAAAATGAATTGTTCCTTTCCTGTTGCACAATTTTAGGCTGAAATATTAAGGAATTAAAGTCAGATTTGACTTCCTTAAATTGAGGCCGAAATTAAGGATTTAAAGTCAAATGTTACTTCCTTCAATTGAGGCTGAAATTATATTAGAATATTTTATTTTTCAACTTCTCCTTTCTCGTTGCCTTAAGCACATTTTTAGGAATTATTGTTGCAATCTTTGGGATTTCTAAGGCTGATCTTCTGTGGTCTTAGTATTATAAATTGTACTTTTTCCATTCAATGAAAGACAATTGTTTTATTCAGAAAATTCAAAGTAATTTCTCTTTTTGTTCTTTGAGAACTAAATTGAACTTATCAGATTTCTTTGT